AATTTCCTGTTTTTATGATAATCTACTGGAAAATTAGGTAATATTTCCTCAAAAGTCGATTATCTACTTTCCCGAAAAGTAGATATTTCCCATTTTCTGTGATACAAATTTCCCGTTTTCTATGATAATCTACTTTGGAAAATTAGGCAATATTTCCCCAAATGTCGATAATCTACTGTGGGGTTCAAGATGTTTGGTTCACACTCAAGATGGGGTGGAGAAAGGAAACTCACAATGTGCTCTCATGTATACATGTTGTATTGGATGTAAATAATAATAATAATAATAATTAACGGTTTATTGAAACAATTCTGCAGCCCGAAGGCTGAAAATATACATTGGACATAAATGATTTATTACATACAGTGGTGGTTTAACAAAAGCCTTCATTAGAGAAAGGTAAAGGAACATACAGTGAACATATAGATTAATGTAGGTGTTGAACAGCAAACTCGTAGTGTAGTAACTCCCTCCCAGATGGTGTTAGGAGGAACTCACGTGGTGTAGTAGTTCCCTCAAATGGTGTTAGGAGGGACCTGGCGTGGTGTAGTAATTCCCTCACAGATGGTGTTATGCGGGGCCTCACGTGGTGTAGTAATTCCCTCACAGATGGTGTTATGCGGGGCCTCACGTGGTGTAGTAATTCCTTCACAGATGGTGTTATGCGGGGCCTCACGTGGTGTAGTAATTCCTTCACAGATGGTGTTATGAGGGGCCTCACGTGGTGTAGTAACTCCTTCACATGTGGTGTTATGAGGGGCCTCACGTGGTGTAGTAATTCCCTCACAGATGGTGTTATGAGGGGCCTCACGTGGTGTAGTAACTCCTTCACATATGGTGTTATGAGGGGCCTGACGTGGTGTAGTAATTCCCTCACAGATGGTGTTATATGAGTGAGGTGTGGTCCCAGGCCTTCCTATCGTAGACGGATTAACACATCGCTGGTTGTTGGGTCTCACGGGCCGTTATCACTGGGTACCTGGGACCTCACTGTGTGAAGGTTACCTTGGGTGCGACTGTAACTGTTGAGTTGTTCTCACTGACTTAAGCACTGTTCACCTCTGTTTAACACTGGTTCCTTTCCTAAATGA